GAGATGCAGCAGAGAGAGAGACGAGAGAGAGCTGAGCAGGAGAGAGAGAGAGGGAGAAGCAGGAGAGGCGAGAGAGGAGAGGGAGCTGAGACCGCGACGAGGACAGAGAGAGAGCATGAGACGAATGAGAGACGGAGAGAGAGAGAGAGACGAGAGAAGGAGAGGAGCGAGAGAGAGAGGAGAGAGAGAGAGAGAGAGAGAGAGACCGAGAGGAGGAAGAGAGAAGAGAGAGAGAGGACGAGAGAGAGAGACGGGAGAAGAAGAGAGAGAGAAGACAGAGAGAGAAGGACGAGAGAGAGAGAGAAGAAGCAGAGAGAGAAGAGAAGAGAGAGAGAGGAGAAGAGAGAGAGAGAGTAGAGATGACACTAAACGTTAAACACTTGCTTTCACACACCACTGTGACGCTGGACCTACAGTATCAGAGCTAATAATACCCTTATTATTAGCTACTTGCACAGTATCCATAAGTCAGTAGATCTATGCCAACCTTTCTATTTAGGCAGTCTATGGTGTTACGATGGAGCGGGCTCTCTCTCTCTCTCTCTCTCTCTCTCTCTCTCTCTCTCTCTCTCTCTCTCTCTCTCTCTCTCTCTCTGAACTCCCTCCAGGTCGCTCGGTTGGTCGACTTCCGCTCCATTTCCCTCCAGGTGTAGCCCTTCTTCTTGAGTTCCGCCTTCGAGTCTTGCCTCCAAGTTACTTTAGGCCTTCCTGATGATGGCATCGCCTCCACATTGACCCTATAGTATTGGTCCAAGTTTTGTCCCGCATTCCTGCGAACTATGGACATATTTCTTGGTAGAAATGTCAATGAGGCAAATCTACAAATTCTACGGAAATTGTGCAATGAATAATTTTTGCTACAAAAATAGAGTAATTAACAAATAAATCCATAGGCAAAATATTTTGTATTTAAAAAATTATTAAATGACCATCAATGTTGATTATAGGACCTGAACGTATTTGTTGTTATATTGAGCTTTTTTCCTTTATTGCTTTGATTGAAAAATCCATATATTTCTATGCAAACCACATGTGTGTAGTATCTATGAGTATACTAATGTAGAAGCAATAAAACCATCAAAACTTTCTTTGCCACCACAAAGAGTTTGTGAACCCTAATAATTCCAAGCCACCACATACAGATTGTGGGCCAAAGATTGTGCTCCTTCAGACCTGCTTAGCTAAACACGTCGACGATTTTTGCGTTACCGGGTGTCTAGTGGCGACGCATCGTGTCTACTACATCTGCTAAAAGTGAAATTGTTAACAATAGTGGTTGCTCTGATATCAGTGAGAACTTTATAATTATGAAAGTTCTATTCGCAACGATCTTTAAGAAAACTGAATTACATTTAAGAACTATATATCTTGGGATTATATTAAATTTAATAAAAACAGATAAAGCCAGGTTTTTATGATTTTATTCATTTATATTCAATGAAATAGTAAGTTTTTCTTAGTCTATGAACGACTCTCGCGTCTCATGCAGGGCAATGACTCGGAGCCTTCTAGAGAGCCATTCAAATGTTTTGTTCCCACTATAGGCCTACAGCACAAAACTACAGGAGTATGTACCTTCTATCTATCATTCAAATGTGTATAGTACCATTAACGTAGGTATAGGACCCACTGCAGTGGTGTCTACCGTGTAAGCACCTACAGCTTTTAGTAATTTAAACATTTTAGTAATCATTAGGTCAGGTGTTTATAGCAGTGTCAATTAAATTACTCGGTAATATAGTGGAAGACCTCTCATTCGAAGCATCGTCGAAATAACGTAACTTTTTGCTAAAATTATAATTTAAAGATAGAGATTAAATATTCCTCGCAGTAGCTTGACGTGAAAAATGAACCCGGACGCCCCTGTTTTTGATAATAGGGATCCAAACTGTCGTAATATACTTTTTAAATTTAAATTGGTCACTATGTCGCGTTAGGTGTCGTACATCACATACAGAGTCAGGAGTAACATAGTGGACGATCGAGTATGTGCAGTATTTCACGAAATAAAAGAATAATATTTTAAATTATAGGTTTAAAACAGAGATTGAATATTCGTCGTAGTGGCTTGACGCGAAATATGAATCCAGCTGCCTCTGTTCTGTGAAAACTGCTAACAACAGAACTTAATACAGAAGTAAACACTCTATTATCCAGTATATACTGTATTGTAAATATACTTTAATATATATATATATATATATATATATACGGCAAAATTTACGTACTACGGCAATACGGGCAATACCGTTGCAAAACTATCAGACATGCCAACATTCATATCAAGGCTCTGTGAATCTTATTATATCACGTTTATCTAAATACTGTGCATAGGCAAGATCTTATTGTATATAGCACACAATGTTATCAATCAGACGGAAAACAAAAATATAACATCGCATAATTGCAACGTTGACGGATATTACACAATATTACATTGTATTTCTATTTTGTTTTTATTTTTTGTACAAGTATTATTATATTGTATAAATATACGCGCACAGAAATGCACGGATGAGCACACACGCTTGTATGACTCATCACGCGCGCGCGCGCGTCGGTGTCGGCGTGCGTGCGTGCGTAGCGTGTGTGTGCATGTGCGTGTGCGTATGCGTGGTGCGTCTGTTGGCGCTGGGTGTGCAAAACGCGCGGTACGTGTATGCGAGCGTGTGCGTGAGGCTGTGAGCGCGTAAATCCCGTAAGAACATGTGATGTGAGTGTAACTGAACGCGCGTTCGTACATACGTGTGTGCACGCAACGCCAACTGTGGTAATTTAACATGAATAATGTGCATGCGGCCTATGCGCCGAAACGCGGAAATATTTCACATTTATTTCTTATACTGTGCTCCTTCAGATCTGCTAGAGATCTGCTGCATATGGGCGCCCTCTAGTGTTGAAAAACACCTATACGATGGCACGGCCAAATACGATAAATTTATGCCGTAGAATAATAGACTAATTCTTAGTAATAATCTTGATATATTAACTATATAGTTAGGTTAGTATATAAAAATCAGTGATTCTTAATCTATGGTAGAATTTAGCAGCTTACGTAACGCAGAATATACAACTAGTGTGTAAATCTGTTACCGGATATGGAATACACCGCTACATGGTGTTAGGTGCGTTCCCTTGGTAAAACCACAAAACCGTAGTTGAACCGTATATCACTCATTATCTATCATTATTAATGTTTTGTTGACAATATTTTTTTAACAAATTCAATAAAGATTAGAACCATATCTAGGAAATAAATAAAACGGAAAAATCTAGTTTTTATGACTTTATTCTTTCAGCTTCATTTTACAGCTTTCTAAAATCGTTGTCAACAAAACTTTTATGATTAAAAAAATAATCTGTAGTCAAAATAGGTTAAAATTACGCTACATAAAAAAGTATTGTTTAATATTCATAATAAATATTTTCTTAAATGTTTTAAAACTAACGTCTACTGTTTGTATACAATGTGCCACTACAAGTCAGTGATAAAGAACAACGATTTTAAAACTCGCTGCTGTTTTATAACAAATGTGAATGCGTAATTATAGAAATTTGTAGATATATACTATGGTTCTATGCACTCACTATCATAACATACTTTAAAATTCTAGTGTTCGGCAAAGAGCTTATAATGATTATAAGCTCTTTGTGTACGGTACGTCGGTATCCCTTACGGCATCAATGCCGAACATGAGTTCCGGCTGGAATACGCACCTAACACTAGGGGCGCCACTGTACATCCGGATGTACATATTCGCATCATTCGCATTCGATTACTGAGCGATCAGTTGAGGCGTTACAGTTTTTCTAACTGTGTGAGAGTGAAAGTGAGAAAGTCAGCTGTAGTGTTTAATGTGTTTTGTATCTTCAGTATATTATAAGTTATACATAGTCGAATTAATGAAGGTGGTTAATTAAAAAGGTCTACTGATGGTGAGTCTTTGATGTTGTTTCCATTCAATGTTTTCATGCAATTCGCTGTAATCATCGGCATTGTACTGTAGTGTAGGCCTACTAGTACTAAGTACTAGTAGTAGTAGGAGTAGTAGTAAGATAATATAGATCTATATTATCTTACTCCTGGTAGTAGTAGTAGTAGTAGTAGTAGTAGTAGTAGTAGTAGTAGTAGCAGGAGTAAGATAATATAGATCTATATTATCTTACTCCTGGTAGTAGTAGTAGTACTAGTAGTAGTAATGTTCGACGTTTATAATGTGAATTTCAAATATTCTACATAGTACATGTACTACTTCATTGAATACGGATTACATTCATGGTTCAATCTCAGGACCCTAGATTTTAATTATACACTTAGGATTAATCCGGTAGTTTCTGGTTAGAAGTATGACTATGACTATGAGTGGTATGAGTTACGAATATAGTGATCGTATTGTATCGTGATTCGTATGATGTGTTACTTATGCTCATACTCATAGTCATAGGGTCTATGTCCCCAGGGTACTGCCGGAACGTACCCTGGTCACTATTTGATATGGTTAGGGTTAGCGAGTAAGCGTAGGCGACTCCATAGACTCGTTAGTGGAGTAGGTGAGGTACGGTCTGGCATATTAGAAGGTACCAGGGTATGTTCCGGTATGCCGGACCGTACCCAGGCCCAGGTTACGTTCCGGCAGTACCCCGGGGGACATAGTCCCTCTCAGCGTTACTTATGTCATGACATGTATCTGTGCTCCAAAGTAAGTAATGTGGGGACACATGCACTTTTGCTATCAAGTATCATTTATGATCTCAGATTCAATGGTTCTTGGATGATTCCGGGAGCTTATTTTTAACATTATGGGTAATACTCGTGGTTGTTATATAGTGGTCATCTGGTCAGTAAGTTTACTGATACGTGTATTATATACATGTAAATGTGCAGTGTACATATTACATACACTGATACATGTATTGTGTATGTGCCATCAAACCACCATGTCTTAAACTTAAAGAATACCTAAAGATTACTTAAGGCTGTGGTAAAATGTGAATGCTTGTGAATCATGACACTGACACAGGGTAGATACAGTAGAACTGGGAGTAAAAATTTCTGATCTAGACAATGTATCGTATTCCTGAGAATACCTGTATTAGTACATGACTAAATCTAGTTTCCTCCTGTTTTTAAATGGATGGCAGAAGACTGTGGCATCTTATTTATACTATATTTTAATGGGCCTAAACTTATCCCAAGACATGGTAATGCATCGAAAGAGAGTTGGTTGATCTAGCTTTAGTACACCAATTTATGTGTGTTATAACGAACACTCGGTGTCTGTGTACAGAGTCTGTACAGAAACCTGAGAACTCGGATCACATGCATGGTTGTCATTTCTGTCAATATTAGAGATATTCACACTCACAGATAGATAGCCATGTGCTTAGAGGGACTATGATAAATAGTCATACGCATGCATGTGTTTGCATTTGGCTAGTCATGCTCTTGTACTCATGGTCTGTGGCCAAAGTTCCCCAAACAAACACCAGTGGGGGTTCCTGGTATTGTTTGTTTATGCTGATGATTTATTCTCTGGTTTCATTATCAGGCGTGTGCCCCGTTTATGAACGTGAGATAAGTATTAGGTTTCATCACAGCATTTGTTAGTGACACGCTAATTGTCGCACATATGAAAACAAAAACACGTATCCTTTATCTTTGTTCATTCAGAAAGGAAGTAGATGGAATAAACGGAAATACAATGGAGTAGACTGGAAACATATCGAGCCAAGATTTCTAGTGCAGACCTGGGTATACATTGGAAATGAGTTCTGTGAATCCCAAAGGGCGAGCGCCCCTGAACCTGAAGCGTAAAGGCAACAGGACTGTGCCTCTTAATGAGAGGGTAAGTTTATATTTACATGCAGGACTGAGTGTGTGTATATTTTTGATTCATGTTATTTGTATTTGGTTTGATATTATTCACAATGGTCCTATTAATCAATCTTTTGTTATATATCATGTATACTGTTTTGTGCTGTCTAATTTATTAGAAAACATTACCGTACCTTAGAATTTATTGTTACATAATCATAAATGTTTGGTAAAATAAAACATTTGTTAACGTGTAAATAATTCTTGACATCACAATGTTCAGTTAGTTCTAGTTACTTAATTCTTGGAATGCACTATGATTGAAAACAAGGCAAAAACTTCATAACTAATTCTTGTTCATCAAAATGAAAAATGATGTAAGGGGCATTTGTTGCTTTGACTTCTGCTCCATTCATCAGGTGTGCTTGCATGTATCTAAATATATCGTGCTGAGTACTTTCCTTTGTCACTTGAACCATGGTTCTTCCTTGTAGCATGCACAGCCAGTATCCTGTAAAACCTGTATCCCATGACATTGTTATCGTGGGTGCTAGTAGGTCTCTGCCTTACTGTCAATGTTTACTTACTGTTTGCATGTCATGATAGGCTTTGATACTGAAAAACTTTGCCCGATTATCATCATACATGTACAGTATGTACTAGCATGACTTTACATTGGTCTTTCTTTCTTAGCCATGCTAATCAATATAGCAACCGATTTAGGGGTTGGTACTTGTTTTCCTAATTTGTATGGGCAGAGAGGCAGCTATGTGTGTAATACTATGCAGACGTATGCTAAAAAAATTTGCCGAGGGGAGGGCATAGTCTACTTTTTCTTACACCTTTGTGTAGATAGGTAGCAATAAATATAGCACGCATGCACGCGCGTTTACACACGCACGTACATGTGTGCACACAAAACAACTATTTGTAGGTCAGAATGAGTTCAGAAAAGTCTTGACAAATATGGTGCTGACTTTTGTCAACAGCCACCAATCACTGATATTTCTTACTTATGTTTGAAAAAGTTTAGGCGCCTCGTACTTTTAGCAGCTAATCATCTGCTGAATTGGGGAAACAGGTTTGTGTTAGAAATGAACAGGAGACTGTGAGTGAGACCTCAGCTTTCTGACAAGCATAGAGAGAGAAACCTCGTCCACGTTCCTGCTGGTTTTCCTCCTTCATTACCTCCGCGCAACGGAGTTGCAGGGAGGTAATGTAATCGCTCTCGTGTGTGTGTTCGTGTGTGTGTTCGTGTGTGTGTTCGTGTGTGTGTTCGTGTGTGTGTTCGTGTGTGTGTTCGTGTGTGTGTTCGTGTGTGTGTGTAGCCAGCAGCGAGCCAGCTGTTATACACATGTATACATGTTACACGCGTTGGCGCGATCGATTAAGCACCAGCTCGCCTTAGGGCGTCCAGTCAGCAGCAGCTCGCCTTAGGGCGTTCAGTCAGCAGCAGCCAGCAGCGAGTCAGCTGTTATACACATGTATACATGTTACACGCTCGCGGAGGTATGCACTCTCTTTGAGTGCCCTCTGTCTAGTTTAAGACTGTGTTACAATGCAATGTTGACGAGCACGCACACGCATGTACACATGCACACGCACGCGCGTGCACACATGCCTTGTCTACTGTACACATCAGAACCTCGATCTCAACTTTTCATCAGATCTCGGGCTTCGTTCTCTACTGTGAGGACAACACACTAAAAATCCTTGCTTCACTCTTCCCCTATCCTTGTACAGGGTTCTTGTATAGCACGTCGGCGTGCATTCGTGTTTCTGCGCGTGTGCATAAATTTCGGTATTACGATCTGAATGCGGCCGGACACCTACCTCAAGGACCGTCGGGCGGAAAGCCGGTTGCCGTGGTTAATACCCGTTTACGCGTGCGCATCGGTAAGAAGAAAAGAAAACATCTGCGGGTTTACGCCGGGGTGCGGCGTGGGACGCGGAGCGGGAGAGGTGCGATAATCGCGATGGGCAGACTTTCGTTAAAAAAGGCAGTTTTTTCGCACAAAGGAGAGCCGGGAGGCCCGAACGAGCGAGCAGCGTTCGTCGCAGAGACGAAAGCTGATGCGGCGTCGCCGCCGCGGATTATAAATCTCCGGATGTGATGCGCGGTCGGCATGACCGTCCCAGGATGATCGTGGGGCGCAGGTGTGATCGGTTCGAGGCTCAGACGTGCTCGCTGTTTGTAAGGGTGGGGCTAGAGATTTCACGTGAATTCCGGTAAAGTCAACACCCCTCCGGGGCCCAGCGAAAAGGTGCGGGGAATCGCGACGTTCGATGTGTGGTTTTTGATCCTTGAGTAACGTTATCTATATTGATTTATTTATTTATGGTTAGCCTCTGACTCTCCCACTGCAGCACATGCAAGCATGAAATTTTAAAATCAGTCATGAATCACTCTTATAATCCACGTTGAGGTTGGTGTGGGAGCGTGAAAGAGTCCAGAAGGAGTGGTCCTTTCTTAGATTCTAAAGAGTGATTTACTATCAAGTATCAGTGTTCTGAGAGCATTGCCGAGAACGCGACTGACCATAAAATGTGGGTTTTATGCGGTAAATCTTCTCACGTCGTGTTCGAAACATATGCCGTGTTTGAAATCACACATTAGACGCAAGAAACAAATGTTCTAACGTTACATCTTGGCGATGGCTTCGCGGCGCGGTGCCGACACCTAGTCGCGCATCGGAATTAGTTTCATCGGTGTGTGTTGTTTTCCAACAACAAACTCGGGAGGTCTTCTTAAAACATCTCCCGATGATATGCTGCTGTAGCGGATAGGAAATCAAAACATCGCAGCACGAGTGCAATGCCACAGCCAGCAGCAAACCGAGTCAGCTTGCAGCAGTTGGAGCTACATGTATGGGAGTTGAAACCCACAACCCGTTGCGCCCCCAGCGTCACGTACACGTAATCTCGTTGGTATGCGGATAAAAAGCAGCCGGCTTGCCGCAGAGCAGTATCGTTGTAACTACTTGCTTCCACGCGTGTAGTTAGAACTGGTAACTGCTAGACGATTACCACACTGTGCGCATCTGCCACACGGCATCAACGGTATTAGTGGGGCGTCTACCCGACAATTTTGTCACCGTGGCAAAAAAATGGTGCGGTACGTGGCGGCAGTGCGTTATTATTATATATACCCCCGCGCGGCTGTGGAACTAAACGTCTAAATAATGTGCCGTAATGCGTGCCCGTTTGTTGAAGCTGTCCGAGAGTAGGGAACCCGTCTGTGTGTGGGGTGCATGCTGAAGTGTGAAGAGCAGCAAGAGGTTGCAGGGTTACTTACAGTGAGGATTATTTTACACAAACAGATACATGCCTGCGCAGCGTCTCTATTGACTCACTCAGTTTTTTTTTTTTCAAATCTTCGTGCAACCAAGCTTTCCTTGTTTCTTGTCCAAATAATCTGGCCTTGAAGATGAACTTAACGCTCGTGAATTGTGATGTAAAGCGAGTGTTAAAAAGGGACGTGCAGCGGTGCTGTTTCAAAACATACTACACCTTTAATATGCATTTAATGTTTCTCAGAACGCTATTAATTTCATTGAGATATTAAATTTCCTTGCCGCCATTGTCGCCATAAACTTTATTTTGCGTTATATTAGATCTATATAGTTGCTTTCTAATCCATTGCAATGAAGGAGAAATCACACCTGAGTGAGGTGTGGTAAATATTTTATCCTACGTCTCTCTCTCACTCTCTGTGCCTGTCTCTCTCTTCTGCTCTCTGTTTCTCTCCCTTTCTCTGTCTTTCCCTTCTCTCTCTCTCTCTCTCTCTCTCTCTCTCTCTTCTCTCTCTTTCTCTCTTTCTCGCTCTCTCTCTCGCGCGCCGCTCCCATCCTTCTCCCACTCTCGCTCACTCTAACAGTAACACCCACCCTCTCTCTCGCTCTATCATCCCTCTCCCAGTCTCGCTCTCGCTCTATCATCCCTCTCGCTCTATCATCCCTCTCCCAGTCTCGCTCTCTCTATACCCCCTCTCTCTCTCTATCGCGAAGGCGTGCTACATATAGCTAGGTGACCTGTAACAAGGAGACACTAGCGGTGGGATAGGCACCGTGACTGTTTCAAAGCAGAATGTGCGGAGGCGTCTGCATTCATCTACGGCAGATGCTCACTGTGTGGGAAAACGAACAGGGTTCCTGATTCCGCCGGCAACGCCCTCTACCTGCAGGGCATTTCAGCGTAGACCGCCCCGCACGTCGGTATTGCGGGCGGCTCTGCGTGTAGAAGTGCGACGAGTGCGCGCGTCTAGAATTTATGGGTAAGCACTGTCCACCGAATTTGGCTGAAAGTATCAAGGATGGGTCGGCTATAGATCAATGGGAGCGGGGCATATACTTCGTTCGGATCTGCATGGGCGAATCTTCGAGACAGCAGTTGTAAAATTTACGTTTATTGCACCACATGTCGTAAGTTAGGGAGTGCGCGTGTTGCGCACTAGTTAGTGCGGTGAATTTCTTCGTGGGAATGTTTTGATCTTTCACAAGTAGCACAAGAAAGACCCATGGGTGCGAGCTATTCAATCAGTTATAGTGTGTTTTACTGTCGAGCTGCTATGCATTTACTTTAGCGCAGCTTTTTTAGGAGCTTCCTTTCGATATATGTTTCATTTAATTGCATTATGCATATTAAATTAATTTGTGCAGAAGATCAGTAATCTGAAGAACTGAATTCATAGAATCCGACCTCCGCCCGTAAGCTTCACGCCATCCCGCCATCACGCAATATATATATATAAAAATATATATATATATATAACTAAGAGATAATCATACATTGTGCAATCATTGTATAATTGTGTATTTTGCAAGATCCACTTCTGATATACCGAGCAAAATAGCACCGAGTAAAATACGAATGAATGTTCTAAGGTCTTCTTCACGTTGAAACTTGTAAAGACCCTTTGAGAGCGTGATCTTCATTTATTACGATCGTCTCCAGCTGTCTCAGTTACAGTCTCAACTAAAAAAAAGTAGGAGGTGCAACACATGAAAAATTCCCTCCTCTCGCCCCAAGAAC